ACAGGAACTGAGGAGGAAACAGGAGCTCACCCTGTTTAACGCGAAGGCTGGACTCGAACCGATGAAGCGTCGACCATTTCTGGCCGGCAACTTTCAGCGTCATTAAGCCACTGCGCCACTGCGTCCCCCGAAGTTGAGTATCTTCAACTCACCTAAAATAAGGGTGAAGCAAACACCCTTGCTTCACCCTTATTTTAGGTGAGTTGAAGATACTGTATTCTTAAAAGCAGCAAAAATGTATCTGTTTTGTGCCATAGTGCAATTTTATAGATGGTTATAGTCACTGGTAACTTCACACTTGGAATCTTTCAACAGTTAGTCTACTTAGGACTGATTTAACACTTGTTTGCTTCCAGATTAAATTGTGTTTAACATTCTGGGTTTTTTTTTTAAAATCTATAAATAAATAAAAAATCTGTAAAATCTAATTTAAAAGAAGGATTAAAAATGCACGTGCTATATTCCAAATGGTTGAACTAATATATGTCAAAAATTGAATGTCATATGTGGTTTTTTTTTAAGGATGTATTTCCTATTTTAAGCAATCTTATTATTATTTTTTTTAATCTGACATTTCTCATATAACATGGAAAGCATGTGTGTGTGTTTATGTATGTAGCATGTACACGTATACTTCTGTCTACCAACCTGTCCTGGGCCAGCATGGTAGATTATGATAGACTGAAGTGTCTTCATCCTGCAATGGATTAATTTTGCCTAATAATAACGCATATATGCATACGCATACACTCCATATATAGATCAGCATTTAAGAATATTTGAATTATTTTATTTAACTCTATAGTACTGGCTATATGATACGATGTATGAATACATATGTGACACTGCTGAGTTACAATCGAATGAATAATGATTCTGTCCACAGCAGCTTCTGAGAAATCATAGCATAAACAGGGGCTTGGTCAGATGATCTGATATTAAGGAACCTGAGAGGGGAGGGGAAAGGTACCTGGCCGTTAATCAAGAACGATTTGCCACTTGATTGTACCCGAATCTAAACGTTAATTTATGCGTACCAATGATAGGTCGACTACAGTTTCTTCTGCTTTCCAAATACTTGCGCCCGCACTGAAACGGCAGAACTCGCCAAGAGATCGGAGAGCATCTGCAAGTCTTCGCTTCCCCAGAAAAGGCGGCCGGGGAGGAGGAGCCAAGAGCCCGCCTCGCTCATTTCCCTCTGCAATCAGGACGGGCGCGCCCTATTCGCGTAGCTTTCGCGTTGCGCGAACAGGGGCTTGCGATGCCAGCGAGAGAAGGAGCGCGCATCTAAGCGGTGCGCGAGCTCGGTGGAGGCGCCCCCAGTTCTGGGCTCTCTTCGCTTCTCTTCGGCAAGCTGGTTGGGACGGACGGCAGCTGGCTTGGCGGCTTCTGGTTTGCGGAGCTTTTTTTAAGGATGGGTAGAGAGTGAAGCAGGAGCGGCGACGCCAGTTAGCCGGAGGACCGAGTCAGGATGATACTAACGCGTAAGTATCGTCGTGATGAAGTAGCGCACTCTCTTCGGTCGCGCTGATTCCGCTGGACCGGGCCAGGCTAGGATCAAGGCTTCTGGGCGTCTTTGTGGAGAACTGGAAGGCTGCTTTCGAGTCGAAGGCGGGATGGAGCGTGGTCAAACTGCCCGGGCTGCGGTGCGCCCCGAGTGGCCGGGCACCTCCCGAGCGAAGCGATGTCAGGATGGAACGCGGCCCGCCGGGGCGAGCGTGTGACTTCTCGCGGCTTTGGGCTTGGCCAGCGATGGGCCACTCGAAGGGAAGGGGCGCAGGTTTCGTTGTAGAGAGGGTCAGCCTCACTTCGGATTCCCGGGTTTTGTGTCATTTCCTTAGGCTGAACACTTCTACAAAATCTTATGGCCGAACAGCTTTGTTCAACCCGAGCAGTGTTGCAATTCAGTGATGCATCTCTAGATACCAGGGTCATCTGGTAGGAAGGGAAGCAGAGATTAAAAGAGAAATGCAAGAGGCACAGTTGAATACATACTTTGCATTCCATGCTGTTGGTCATTTCTGAATATTCCTGAAGTGAATCCTTGACTGTTACTGATTCAAGTAACCCTTCCTGACCTTAGACTTGTGGTATGTAAGAATGTACGCATCGTTCTTTAAAATTAAAATTAGACATTATTATGCCCTTAAACAGCCATAGCTGAGCTCAGGAAAAGAAGGGGAAAAAAAATGAGAGCAGTTCTTTAGCATGTAAGACCGACTTGACCTGACACTGAGTTCCTTTCTGCAACTGAGCCTGTTGGGAAAAGAGGTATGGAAAAGATTTGAAACTGTTCTGTTCACTTACTTATGTCTCTTTCTCAGTCCAAATAACTAAGATGTATTGGGAATGCTGTTAGTACTCCACAGAGACTGGAATGATTATTACAACCTGCCCCTAAAAAGCTGTACTTGTATTATTAGAAGAAGCTTCTGCTATACCGTATAAAAACGTATAAAAGCGTATACTGTGTGGAGAATCAGATGAAAGGAAATGAAACTGCCTGCCTCTGTGTGTGTGTGTGTGTGTGTGTGTGTGAGAGAGAGAGAGAGAGAGAGAGAGAGAGAGAGAGAGA